AGCAATGTTATTATTTATTATTCCCCAACGAGTGCCTCTGAATAGTAAATTTGTCCAACATTCTGGGTGTGATTGGGTAATGAAGTCCCTGGCCAATGGCATTGATTCGACCACAGAACTAATGTGGTTTTCGAAATCTCTCCTCAACGTAGCATAGGCAGCCTTATTGAAGACAGCGGTCCATCGTTTCTTATTATGCATTTGGTATCTCCGCATAACCTAAAAAAAGACATTTTTTGGCTGATCATAACCAGTGATGTTCATTACAAATTAATATTGACGTACATATACCTGGGTACGGAAGTTGTCCACTAAGTGTCGGAGACAGTACGCATGATGTGCTCCGGGAAAGACGCACGAGATTGACTTTAGTAAACCCGAGTGCCGATCTGAGAAGAATGTGTATTGTTTCCAATCCGTACGTCCCTCACATTCTAAAACTGATCGCAGCTTCCAGCAAAACCACTCCTAATTTTCATCATTTTCCGTAGACACAGCTGCAAGTCAACAAATAAGAATACAAATAACTACAAAGGTTTCCAACGTATAAGGGTACATACGTGCCTAAAGAGAGCATGGAAAACAGCATACACGAACAGCTATACCCAACATTCTAACAAAATGACAACTGTAGCTAATATCAAATTACGTACCAGAAAATGCTAAAGTAAACATCCCATCATCCCCATCCACTGCAATTGCACTTAGCAGACACCCTTTGTGTTTGTTTTTTATATGTGTCCCATCAAGAAAGAGTAGGGGCCTGCAACCCCTCAAAAAACCCAGCCGGCATGCACCTAAACAAACAAAAATGCGCTGGAAACGTTTGGTTGCCTGCTCAACTTCGCAGTCTATAATACTTCCCGGATTTGACTCCCGAAGTGCATGACAGTACCACGGAAGTTGTGAGAAACTGTCTCTACCTCCACCATTAATTGCCCTTATCACATTCTCCTTGCCACGCCATGCTTTATGATATTTCACGTTAATCCCATAATCTGTTTGGATATGCTCCCGAATGTCGGATGCCTTATACGCTGGCATAGAATGTATCTTATCTTTGTAGACCTCAGAAATCCAATTCGCATCGGCTGCTGGATGATCTCTTGATTGCAATAGACTCATAGTACATGTGTGATGTAAATTGCACTTACGAATGCTGAATGATGCATCACGAGCATGGAAGGATGCATAAATACGCCAACCACAGCCTTTGTCGATGCACACCGCAATAATTTTGCTCGAATCATTCTTTTGGTACCTGAAGTGTTTCTAAGTGGCAATAGAATAATTCTTCAGTAACTTTCTAAACTCCTGCGGTCCCTTGAATGTCTGACCTTCCCCGACAATGCATCTCTGCATTGCAATTAGACTAGTACTTTCGTCGGGAATAAAGATACCATCTGCGCAATCTTCGTTCAATCCCGAACATTCGGCCTCACCCCTACATTACAAATACAATAATAAGAATGAAAATTATATCAGATGTAAGTAGTTCTAATTTTATATGGTAATAGATATTTTCTTCGTAAATAGAAAAACATGGGTACCCATCTTACTCAACCGAGTATGTCCACGGTGTCTATGGTTACCTACCGTGTCATCCAGGGTATTTAAAACAACAACTGCATCTATTCACCGCAGCAGGCTACATGATGCAGTAAATGCCATGGGCTACAGAAATTTCAACGCATCGATCATGGTACACCTACCTAAACCGGATTGCTAGAGGATATTGACAGTGGCGTGTAAAGAATGAGTGAAAATCGTTAAATACCTTCAAGACGTTATATCCCCACTACATATCTTTACAATCTCTTCAGTGGTTCGTTCTGCACCGCGCTACTACAAAATCGCGGAGGTGGATACTTACTACCTACAAACAACATTGCAACAATATACCACGGTATTGTTGTATGCCAATATCATGAAAGAATTATTAACGTAACCTATAAACAATATGTTTTTAGATGTGTTGAACATGACATTATAAGTGCTTACAGACTGCATTCTTACATATTGCATTATAAGTGCTTACAGACTCCATTCTTTCATAAGGAACAATTGAGACTGCATTCTATAACAAAATTTAATAAAGACTACTTAATTACAAACGATGAGTAACGTACCTGCGTCCAACCGTGCTTCGGAGAGGCACGCTCTGGTGCTCGCTTCTACACCATGCAATCATATCCACAAACATTACCTTTAACAAGATATGCATTCTCCACATATTAGCGACATCATCGTCACACAATAACGTCACGTAGCTTTTCTGAATAGGTGCAATATATTGGAGTTTTACCGCCTCAATACTCACTTTATTCCATCTTTTCGATATATTCCGGTAAAGATCCTCCAGCGTGGTGCCCTCTTCTAAACGAATTACATGATGCTCACCTTCGTAGGAACATATAATTAATAATTTCAGATTACTTTGCTCCATGTCCATCGGAACCTAACGATCCAACCAATGAATGTATGAACTATATTAGGTCGTATGGGCGATTAGATAATCTTACACAAAATACACTAAAATCATATGTTCTTACGGAATTCTAGTAATTTCTTGATCCTCAATAGCAACAAATTACCCATTTCACAAAATAAATATTACCCTTAAACCCTAAATAACAACAAAATTTATTATCAAAATCACCCAAAATAATACCCAAACATTTTCTTCCAAATAATAATTTTCCAACTAAGATATCGATACAAAAATACACCTGGTACATCTAATTTCGCCGGAGAACAAGAAAGACGAGCCAGGGAACCGGTGACAGCCTTCGGTAGTTCTTCGACCGAATCAACTGACACAAAAACACACCTGGTACATCTAATTTCACCGGAGAACAACAAATACGGGCTAGGGAACTGGTGACAGCCTTCGGTAGTTCTTCGACCGAATCAACCGACCGCCGACGACAGGGAACCGGAACAGGATTCGGAGAGTGCCCTAGGAAATTTTTCAATCGAACCAGACAAGAAGCGGCGATGTAAAATCGGGCGAACAATTAAGAACCTTACCTGTGCGGGATGTGACTTTCGAGCTCACGGAAGAGGACAACGGATTGAGATGAATTTTTTGCGCGAAGAGAAACAGAATGAAGAAAAATATGAGTAGGGAGGAAGAAGAAGGAAGAAGGAAAAAGGAAAAAGGGGGGAGTGCAGACAAATTTTTTATCATTAGGGACTGAATCCCAATTGATAAATGGACAGAGGGATTTTTGCCCAATTGTCCAAAAAAAAAAAAGGGTCTGGCCACAAGCCAATCAAAAATAAAAGAAACAAACAAATATCTCTATCATCCACTATATATATAATACATATATATTTATATATAACACTTGTCTTTACTAGTATATTATATATATATATATATAACTTAGTACTATGAAATTACATATATTAGACATAAATAAGTAAACAAGTATAACTCCATATTGCACAATAATACATAAAATTATATATATAATATTAAATAATACTACAAGACTGCAAACTATCTGTTCCACCCTACACTACCCGATAGTAGGATGTATTTGTTTGGGACTGCAAACTATCTGTTCCACCCTACGCTACCGGATAGTAGGATTTATTTGTTTGGGAGAATGATTAGATTTCCACTATTTATTCTATTTTTTTTTTAAAAAAATATTAAATTAAACATTTATATTTTATTTTTATATTATATTAAAAATTAATTTTACATTCAAAACATCACATCAACATCTATTTATATTAGGTCATACAACTATTCAAATTCAAAATTTTTACTATTCAAATTCCAACCTCCCAGACAAACATACCCAAAATTAAATATATAATATTAAATAATTCTGCAAGCCAGCCTGCAAACCCTCTGCCCCACTCTACACTATAGTACATAAAATTACATATATAATATTAAATGATTCTGCAAGGCTGCAAACTGTGTGCACCACTAATTATATTATATATAATTATATATACACTCTACTACTCATTACAATTTAGAAACATATCCAAGGATCTCGCCGAAATGTCACGAGTTATTGATCTCAGTGGCTTCATAAATTACTAATACTTAAGCAAACTATTATTCCACCTCATACAAATATAGGTTAAATTATATTATATTCCCTAACACCTAATATTTTATTTATTACATAAAATTCAAAATCTCTTGTGTTAATGTAAATTTTACATAAAAATTTGAGTAATTTAAGTCTTTATTTAAAACCAAATATCAATTTTGGCCAATAAAGATATTTTGTGCAAACTTTACATTAACATAAGGGAGTTTAGCACATTAAATAAAATATAGAGTGTTTTGTATATTTTGATGAATAAACAAGGAGTTATATAATTTATCCTATAAATATATGACTGTTAAGGGTGTGTTCGTTTGTAGGATTTTGTCAAGATACTATTGTTCATCCAAAATTTTCCCTCCAAAAACATCAAATCAAACACCTATTTTTTATTTTTTTATATTATACTAAAAATCAATTTTACATTCAAAACATCACATCAACACTTAATTATATTACATCATACAACTATTCAAATTCAAAATTTTTACTATTCAAATCTCAATCCAAAATTCAAACCCCGAACAAACACACCCTCAGTATATTTCAATAATTTATTTAAAAAATTACTTATAAAATAAGTAAATATAAATTTTTCTTTTAACATATCAAAACATTAATCCTATCTCAATAATGTCAAATAAGAAATGATAATCCAAGGTTCCCACGTCATCCAAAATAAGAAATCAAATTTCTAAATATTAAGTATACTTATGGCTGAGATATAATAATTCAGAACCAAATAACTCTCTCACCAATACTAGCATTAGTTCAATTATTGGCTGTAGGTTACTCCATTTGTGTCATCTTGTTCTTTTTTTATTTTTTAAGGCGAAACTATCGGCAGCTATTACTTTTCGAGTATGCTTTGAAATTTATATCACATTGTTGATTGCAACATAAGAAATTTATGTCATAGTACCATCGAAAAATGAAGTATTTATTTTCTTCTAAATAAAAAACGATATAGTTTGTAAGCTAATGCATTCATACGAGAGTTCACTCAATGCATAGGCACCCGAAAAGTAAACATTAAAAAAAAAAAAAAACTACATCCAATGCTCTCCAATCCTATATAAATCATCACTCAGGCTGTTGATCATAGTCGAACAGACTTAATGCATTAAGATTAGACCTCGACACTGTGAGTTTCTTTGTCTTTTTTAAGAAAAAAAAAATGCCAAAGTGAAGGATAAGGCAGTGGAGGTGATGAAAACTAACCTTTTCAAATGGAAGATGGTAGCCACTCAAGAGTTTCACCCGCAAACATCGGAACAATATCCCCGAATGGAAATGTATACGAAGATGGCACATTCCATGGGGTCTTGCTCAGTTCAATCTTTGTTGTATTCCTCGCAAGGCCATAGAAGTCTGGTCCGTTGAAGCTCGTAAATGCTTCTAACTTGTCCAGTGCACCGGCCTGTAATAATTAATATGAATACACAGGTCCTTTGTAATGGTTATGGAATATGGAATGTATCGATTAACAGACAGTCTTTGAACTACCTCTTCGAAAACTTTAGCGTAGACAGACAAAGCTACAGGAGAATTGTAGATTCCAGCACATCCACAAGGACACTCCTTTTTCCTTCTCTCATGAGGAGCACTGTCGGTTCCTAGGAAGAATCGTTTACTTCCACTTGTGACAGCAGATACAATTGCCTGTCCTGTGAAGGCCAGAGAACAAATGTAAAATCGCGAAACAAAATTAGTGTTGTAAGTATTTAGAGGAAGATGATGAAGTAAACTTATGTTGCAGACTAAATGCACCCTTCCCATTGCTCAAAGTATATTGTAAATGAGGGGAGAATACTCACCACATTAGCTGGGAAAGCTGCCTAACATAAAAAAAAAACTAAAACTAAAAAAATGTCACCAAGTAAACACAACAAATTAAGAAAAAGAGTCCTCTCAAAATGGAAAACGAAAAGCAAAACAGGATCCAGTTACAGTTCTAATCAATGAGAGGCTCCCACTATCAATAAAAAAGTAGACAAAAATACAAAACAATAAACTGCAAAAAACAGAAAAAGAAATCGCAAGAAAGGATTCAATCATGGTTCCAATCACAAAATGGCTTTCTAGAAAACAAAACCGCAGTCAAAATCAGCTGAGACATCTTGAATAAAAGAACAAGGATGCCTTGTTCTCCTGTTGAGGATAGAAACCTTACTGTGTATCTCTCTCTTAAGTACTGGAAGACAATAGTTGTGAGGTTGCAATCCTCCTTGAAATAAAGAATTCCTGTTAAGAATGAGATGTTGTGGTGTGACTGTTGCTGCAACAAATCCTGCATATGATCAAAATTAGATGACAAAAATAAAAATATGGATGCCATATTTTTATTTAAAACAATCAAAATTTTAAAAAGCATGAAAAGACATACCTTCATCGCACGACTCAACAAACTTTACAGCATCTGCAGTGGTTATGTGCTCCATGACAACCTTCAATCTTGGGAACCTTTGAATTAGGGGACTAAGAATTGTTTCAATGAACCCCTTTTCACGATCAAACACATCAACCTCGGGACTTGTTACCTCTCCATGGACCTACAGAGACTTCAATTGGCATGACTTTGGCAGTGGGAAAAAGAAGAAGGCCTTGGTATGAATAACGTATTAAGCTGGCATAACATTGTTTATATTAATCAACAAAATGAAATTATAAGACATAGCCAGGGGTTTTCCTTTATGTAAAGTTACCCATCTAAACAATAATAAACTACCTTTTTTTTTCATTTCTTAATAAAAGTTGTTTCTTATATTCATCCTAGCCTATTAGTCTTCACACAGAATGCAGTTCTTACGAACATCTTACTTTAGCTTTAAGCATCAAAGCCCCTCTAAGATGGAACTTTGAAATATTTTCTTCTTTAACACCAAGCCCATAATATTTCCAATTTCCTTCAACTTACAAAATTCTAGCTAGTAAAATAATGAATCACAGCCAAATGTTATCCAAAATAAAAATGTTTATTAGGGAAGCTCAATTCAGGGCAATTCCTGGCAGTAATGACTCATTATGAAACCTAGATGATCACAAAAATGCATACACATAATGTAAGCTATAAGGTCTGAAGATAGTGATCACTATTTCCTGTGCTCCTCCCAATAAACACATGCACTAGAATCACTACAATACGATCTCACTGACTTTTATCCACAACATATCCTTTTCAAAAATTGTAAGCCATGAGATTTGAAGTTATTTGTTCAAATAGCGTAGCATAATCTATAGCTAGTGGTGTACATGGTGGTGTTAAGCAACCATTGCCTTTCCAAGCCCCCATTTTGCCATTTCTGGCACTTTCCCATCTTAAAAAGGCCATTTAGGTTTTAGCTTTGAATTATTACATGCTAACCATGCATAATACCATGTGAAGATTATATGAGGCACATTGAGTAGCTCATAGTAGAGCTTGCAGATAAGAAATAAAATAGATATATCACAATATAACCCTTTTAAACAAGTCAGATATCTTAGGTATATTAGTGAATTAGATCACATCCATGAGCTAACTACGTCAACATGCAATCTAATGAATTAAAACACACCTATTTGTACCAAATAATAACTACATAGACTAGATTGAATGGAAGAAAAGAACATAAGATGCTGAATATTAAAACAAGTGATAACTTGAGCATAATTCTCAAAAAACACCATAAAAAGCTTACCAACAGAAGCATGTTATGCTGAACCATTTCCTCAAGTACAGGTAAACACTTTCCAAACAGATCTGTTACACCATCTTGAGAATTAGTGGTAGCACCAGCAGGATACAGCTTCACAGCAAAAACAACTCCGCTCTCTCCTGTAATAGCCCTAAAATGTGTCAACTATCAAGCCGAAAAATAGAGCATGAAGAGCTATTTTAAAAAATAATATAAATGAAAAACAAACAACAATATCAACAATAAAAAGGAAAAAGCTCATTTGCTACCTTGGCAACCACAACATTGAGCACCAGTGAATCATGAACCTTATCATTAAGGTTTGTTTGGATGTGGGTTTGGCTTGGTTTGGGGTTTAGGATCAGTTAAATTTGAATAGATTTTTTATGTGATATTTTGAGTGAAAAGTAAATTTTTAATATAATATTCAAATGAAAAATAGGTGTTCAATTTGGATGGTTTTAAAGGAAAGGGAAAAGAAAGAAAGAAAAAGTAACTAATAGTGTGAGACCTTATAGAAACCTACAAACAAACATACCAAATGTCTACATAATCCTGCAACTAAATAGTAGAACAACTATTAAAGTAAATTGGCTTTTAAGTGTTTTAAATTGTTGTTGAAAAACAAAAGGTATATTAAATTTTTGTTGAAAAACAAAAGGTATATTAAATTGTTATTATTTGCAAGCGTGAGTTCTAAGAAGTGGTGATTCACCTCTGGGGTTAAGGGTTTGGCACTCTTAGTTGCGAACAAAAGAATCAGATATTGGGAAAAAGGGCTGAAGGAAAGAAGGCATACATATAGATATTTAAGCTAACTCTGCTTGGTCTCTTCTTTGATGTGCTTATGGGTGTAGGTAAGAGAAAACCTTATTTTTTTACATGTATTTAAGCCAAACTAGAAACCCATAATGTGGTGGTTTCCAGACATTACTTCTACATTTCCATCTCATACAATCAGAGAGTAAATTTCAGGGGGACAAGATTCAAGTTCCCTCAACATGGATCATATATTTGTGTTGGTTTTTAATGTGATCTGAAAATTAAATGAAGAAAGACAAGCAGCTGGAATCACATCAGCGACCCTTTCGTCACTTTCCAAAGCCACCATTTCTACTTAACTTTGTTGTATTTCAGTAAGCATATAGTATATGCAGATGAAAGAACAAACAATAGTATAGTCATTGCATACCTTCATTGCATCAAGAATCAAGTAAAGAAACTATCAATTATCTCGCAATCACACAAGCACACAAATATATAGAATTGGACTCACTTGCCAGCTTGATCTCATCTGGGCTTGTAGTGTCTGTCAAATAAAGAGTCATCAAAGGAGTGAAGTCACTGTTTTCAGGTAGAGCTTCTAAAATCCTGCGGCGATAGGCCAATGCAGCAGCTGTGGTCGTGATTGGGGGTTTCAAGTTCGGCATTATTATAGCTCTTCCAAACTGGGATGAACTGTAATAAAAAATAATCCTTTCACAAATTAGGAAACAAATAGGGGGAAAAAGCTCATTAAAGTTGATGTCACCATAAAATAGCAGCCAAAACAAAAATGTTAGAAATGCCTGTCCAAATAACCAACCTGTGAGGGACTACTGCTTCAAGAAGTTCACCGTCACGAAGATGAAGGTGCCAATCATCAGGGCGTGTGATTGATAACTTCATTTTTGAGCTATATGCTTTTAGGTGAAAGGGCCTTCTAGCACCCACAGTTGGTTTAGATGACTGCTGAATGAGTAAAAGAGTTATACAAGATTTGACAAATAAATCACAACCGCCAAAATCAAGAAACAAATGTGTAATGAACAGAGTAAGAAACAGCATCCAAACAGATTGTTCCTTACTTAACCCGAAATAAAATGAAGCACATAAAAAACTAATATTTTAGTGTACCTCTAGACTAAACACAAACAATTAACAATCGACCTTTTCTTAGGGCAGATCATGAAAAATTGTGGCTAATCTTAAGCTAGAATTAAAATGAAAATTTGAAATACATACAACTGCAGAAGGCATTTACATAGAAAGATCAATCTCTGACATAGAGCACCACATTATGGAGTTAAGTAAAATGGAAATAAGTAGACAGAGTTATAAACAACATTATGCAAACAAACGATCAGATCAGTTCAGTTGAGATACTAAAAAACAAAACATCACTGAGTTAAAACCTTATCTTAAATCAGAATGTAATGAATTAGAGGCTCACTGTTAGCGAGATAGGCCCGCACCAGCTGAATCCGTAGCAGTTAGTTTCCAGTTTTCTGATATGGAAGATCAGTGCCGCTTGCACTGCACTTCTTCGGTCAACGGCGCGAAAGCGATCTGTGTGTCTATTCCGAATCTGATAGGTGCCTTTTGCAGTTTTTTACCCTCCGCTGCATATTTTCTCGCTCATTTGTTATTATTTATTTTTAAAAAAAAAATTACATCAAATACAATATTTTTTTTAGGCACAAAATCTATTCGTGATTTAATGAAATTATAACAAATTCTTCGTATTTCTATAAACGTGTGTCAAATTTTTTTGTAGTTTCGTAAAATTTGCGTCTAATCCTCTAACCCTCTCAGCGGTCCTTAACTGTATTTAATCTAACAAATAAATTTCAAAATATCAATTTATAAATCCCTATAAATTATACATATATTTATTTTTTTTTATATTTACCCTAAAAAGAAAATAGTAAATATACTAAAAGTTATTTTTGTCATGTTTTAAAAATTTATTTTTACTAAACTAAACATATAAAAAAAACTATCTCCATAAAAACTAGCTAATTCCACATCATTTGTTCTAAAATAAAATTATATATTTTAATTATATTTTTTATTTTAATTTTTTAAACTTTAATTACATTTTAATTTTAATCTATAATTATTTTTATTATATAATAATTATTTTTACTAATCATATTTTACCTGATTCTCATTAAACTCAAATTATATGCGACTGTGTTGATGCAATTTTTCAACAATAAAAAAAAAATCCGAAAATAGGGAAATATCTTCGAATTTGATATAATTAGTGCCCCAGATTAGAAATGTCTAAACACTGTAAAATACATGAACATATAAAATAAAGACTGGAAAATAAAGTGGTGATCCCAAAATCAATTCTCTTGAATTTGATGTCGATTGAAGATGCCTTTTTTCGAATGGCATCGGGTCCTTAAATAATCCCTTGAAGAAACGGTTTGAACCGTCGTCTGGTTGATTGCAGCAACCGCTGTTCAACCGCCCAGAAAATCCTCCTCTGTCAACACGTGTGTTAACCGACTTACCAGATTGCTCGCGTCAGTTACAGCACTCAACTGCTTATCCGACCGCCTATGAACACTTTTCTGCCTCAAATGAGTGGCTGGCCCGACCGGTTACTCAGCCGCCAAAATAACTCCTGACTCCTTAGACGGATCGCAGGCCAACCGACCAGTCCAGATACTAACTGGTCGCTAGACCGAACGATTCATTGGTCGCTCAATAAAGCGACCACCATCTGGTCTCTTGTCCGACCATGTATCGTCCGTCTCATTCTTCTTCGTCCGACCTCACTTGGTCCGAACTCTGCATCAACCGACCTCCATATCAACCGACCTCCATGTCGTCCGACTCAACCGACTGCAGACCGCCAGACCTGCTCAACTGACTGTGGTCCCGACCACAAAACAACCGACTGTGGTCCCGAGCACGGACCAACCGACCTCGGTCCCGACTGCAGACCAACCGACTGTGATCCCGACCACAGAACAACCGACTGTGGTCCCAACCACGGACCAACCGACCTCGGTCCCGACTGTAGACCAACCAACTGTGGTCCCGGCCACAGACCAACCGACCGGCTCTATTCGCCTTATCTCCTTAGATGGACAGACTGTCCTCTTGACAGACCTCCGCGTTTGTCCGACTTCTTTTTTCCGACTTCTGGGCAGTTTGGCTTATATCCAGACCCATCCAGAATCCTATTACCATTATTTATTATTATTATTAATTTTTGTGCTCAACAATGGGTGTGTTTGTTTGGGTGATTGGATTTTGAATTGTGATTTGAATAGTAAAAATTTTGAATTTGAATAGTTGTATGATGTGATATAAATAGGTGTTGATGTGATGTTTTGAATGTAAAAATTAATTTTTAGTATAATATAAAAAATTAAAAATAGGTGTTTGATTTGATATGTTTTGGAGAAAAAATGAGATGAATAGTGGAATTAAAATTCAATCCCCCAAACAAACGCACCAATATTTCGAATAATTTTTATTTAAATAATATTTTAATATGATTTTTTAGAAAAAAAAAAAAAACAATTGTTTGGATTAAAATTACAAAATAACAAATCCAAAATTTTGATATCTATTTATATGGCTAATTACAATTGTCCTACATCTAACTAATCTAAGATTTACTTCTTGTATTTTGTGATGTTGTCCTAACATTATTGTTATAAAAAATAATAAAATGAAAGAGCAGGACATGGCTCGATTTTTCCAACAATTTTTACAATTAGAAAAATCGTTGGCAAAAATCACATAAGAAGCCAACTACTTCGATTCTAATAGCAGTGAACTTGGAAAATCACAAATATTTGTATTTTTAGAAAATATGTAATTGTTCCGCCGCTGTAACGGTTGAATGCGTGCAAATGGTGCAATTAAAAAAAGAAAATAAAATACACAAGATTTGATGGCCAATTAGGTATAACAACCAATATTTAGGAATTTTAATTTAGGAGACATCCAATAAACCCATCATCAAGTACACAATGAACGACTCAACAAACATCGACCACCTATTATTTTATCCTATAACCCTCTTTGGATATGTATTTACAAAAAATTAGCAATCAAACCGTACTTTAAACATTAGAAAATCTTTTTTCAACAAACATCGACTATATATTATTTTATCCCACAATCCTCTTTGGTATGTATTTAAAAAAATTAGCAATCAAACCCTTTTTTTTTTTCTAGTTGAGACTTGAGAGTTAGTGTGTTGATGTTTTTTTTTTTTTTTTTTTTTTTTTTTAATGGTTGAAAAATCAAATCTACTTCTTCAAGGAGCTTCAAGTCATCATAAATAATTAAAATTTTCTTGAAAACAAGAAGCATTGAAAACAAAAGTTTAGAGAGAAAAATAAATCACAATTTTCCATCTTGTGAAATTATCTCACATATCCAATAAAAAATAAAATTAGATTTGTACAACGTTTGACTCTCTATCTCACATACCCAATACAAAATAAAATTAATTGAACCTAAAAATATTTTAAACCTCATTTTGTCTTCTCCATATTATGCTCCAACGTTTCACTCTATATATCCAGACTAATCGGACCATAAAAGACATAAATTGTTCATGCAAAATATATTTAATTGTCGACTTTAATTTTTTGTGGCGACATCGAATTTGGATACACTGCACAATAAATGTAATATATGCCAAAAAAAGGGGTAATTTTGTAATATTTTTTTTTTGGAATGTCTAATTGAGTTAGGCTCTGTTTAAATTAATTTTTACCAAAAAGGACTTTAAATTCGTTTATTTTGATTTTTTCTAAAAGCAAAAAAAATAATAATAATAAAAAATAAGTTCAAAAGTACTTTAAAAAAATAGATATTTAAAAACACTTCTAAATTAATTATATTCAATTTATTTATTTATTTTTTTCAAAATTTGTATCTATAAAACTCTACTTAAACCTAAAACCAAAGTACTTTTATTTTGATTTTTAAGTCAATTCAAATACGTCCTTAATTCAATAAAGCATTACATTAAAACTAATGTTCAAATAAAAAATCAAAATTTTAAAATTATATATATCAACTAAACATAAGTTTTAACATAATTTTCAATTTTATCAAACAAAATAATTAATTTATATTTTTTAAAATTCATTTTCTCTTCAATCTTATTAATTTATATTTTTTTGTTAAATTCATTTTCTCTTCAATCTTATTAATTTATATTTTTTGTTAAATTCATTTTCTTTTCAATCTTATTAGCATCTGTTATTAGAAGTCCACCAAAATGGAATTTTATTATCTTTTACCAAATACATTGTGAGGTTGATGCTAAACTAAAACTCGACAAATCTTATATCTATATGTTAACAAACCAAAATTAAACAAGCACACAGTTCTATAGTAGGAAGTGAGGAATGCCTACAATCCGAGTGATATTTATTATCAAATGTGCTGGTGTATGGAGAGGCGAGATTCAAACAAAACACACTTAGATAACAAAGGATCAATCGAGAATATGTCTCTACACACTAATCAACTACGGAAAGGCATGGTGCTCATATAAAAACACTTTAACAACATTTTAATCAATCTAAATCACCTCATAATAAAAAAAATATGAAGAATACAACCAAACCAGTGTAGTTGTAAAGTTTTCGTTCTCAAAGGTGTCTTTCAGAACCTCAAACAACAGCAATTATGAGCATAACAACAAAAAAAAAAACTGTAAATCAAGCCGATTACCCGTGGGAAGGAGAGAAACGGAGAATGACTAAAAAAGGATGTTAGGTATAAGAATCAGTGAAATGGAGTGAAGGAATAATCGATGCGGAGATCGATTGAAGTGCGAACAAAACGTAGGCAAAATGAAGTGATTCTAATAATCACAGTGATGAAATGCTTTGTGTGTGAATGGAAGATGGTGTTAGCGGAGGCGATGTGCAAAGTGAGTGGTAGTAAGGTTTGTGAGAGTAGCGGCAGAGGCGATGTGATGAAGAAGATGAAGTAACAACTAGGTATACATATATATATGTGTGTGGGCTTAACCACAAGTAAAAAAATGGGCCTAGCCCATAACCTGATCTCCAAGGCCCAAAGTGAAGACGAGCCCAGTTTTAACACCCCCTCACTTAAAGGGCCGGCATTAGCAACTTGAAATAAATCAAACAAATTGTTAAGTTTACTTAGGGTGTGTTTGTTTGGGGGTTTGGATTTTGAGTTGGGATTTGAATAGTAAAAATTTTGAATTTGAATAGTTATATGATATGATATAAATAGGTGTTGATGTGATGTTTTGAATGAAAAATTGATTTTTAGTATAATATAAAAAATAAAAAATAAATGTTTGATTTGGTATTTGGGGGGGGGGGAATGGAATGAATAGGGATTTAAAATCCAATCCCCGAAACAATAACACCCTTAGTCGAAAGATAGACTTACTGTTAAGACTTTTTGTAAGCAAGTCAGCGCATTATTGATCAGAGGGAATGAAGTGTGTTGAAATGACTCCCTTGGACATATAATCCCGTACCATGTGAAAATCTACCTCGATATGTTTAGTTCTTTTATGAAAGACAGGGTTAGCAACAATTTGTAAAGCAGTTGTGTTACCACAAAACAGTTCCACAGGACTTT